ATTTTTTGCTATAAATATAAAAAATGCTATATTTTTATAATTTTATTTATACAATCATACGGGCCAAATCGAAACGAACCGCGACCCGTAACCCGCATGGGCTCGACCCGGATGGGCCAGCTGGTGGGCCTGGGTTGTAGTTCAAAATTGTGGGTCGACCCGTAACCGACCCGAAACCCGCAGCGGGCAGGCTTTTTTTCGCGCGAGCCGTTACCGGACTCACATGTTGGCGGGCCGACCCGGCCCGGACCACCCGGATTGACACCTCTACCACCACCTCACCACTGAGTGTGCGGCACATCTCCGGCTTCGTAGCCTGCGAAGGCCACTGCACATTGACGTAGTGTCGTGGCATTGCAGTGGCTTGCGTACGGTGTTCGTCGGAGTAGAACTGGGAGAGAGAATGAGGCAAGGTGACACATCGGCTTCACCCGTAGTGACTTGTGATGGCGGTGGTGGTGTCAGCTTTGTGCGGCTTCACTTCGGCACTCTCAGGTCGCTACGCGACAGAGAGAAGGTGAAAGATGAGAATAGATAGAGAGAAGGAAGGTGGTGCCAGCGGTGGTTGTGCTAGTGGTGTGGTGGCGGGGCGACGACGGATGGCTAGAGAGAAGGAATGATAGAGAGAGAAGAGGGAAAATGGAGAGGATGGAATAATTAGGGTTTTGGTGTGTATGGTTGGGTATAATGAATTTGTATATTTAATTTTGTAATATAATTATTAATATTTTAAAATTTTAATTATCATTTGATATTTGAAATAAAAACTTGTAAATCTAAATTTTGAAATGGGAAGTTTAAAAATCTGGAAGGCTGTAATTTCCACCTTTTTAATCCCTCGTAGGCTGGACCAAGCTCATATAACATAAAATTCTTCTTAAAGATAAAAAGTCGAACTTCTGCCTCGATCTATCATTTTCCTACTTCTACATTTTTATTTTTATTTTGCATTTCTGTGGTTTAAGTAAGTTTGTTGCGTGCATATAATCTGCCAGTGTTCTGTACATTTTTTCGTAAACAACAGAATATAATTTGCATATAATTTCTCAATATTTTGCTCTATAATTTTAACTTATCAAATGCAGGGTTTCCTAACTCTCACGTTCATAAAAATTACATACACGGTAATTTGCGGTATTTTTCTTTAAACACCCGTCTATGTTCTAATTTTATAATATTTAACAAAAATCAATACTAATTTTCATTTCACCACCTAATTTTGCCCTATTTTTGTAATTTGCTGTAATTTATTGTGCTATACAAGCATTGAGCTACTTTATTTGATTCCTTCCCCACTTTGGCTGGCCAAATGAATACACGTCATTGGTCTATTGACACTATTCTACCTAAAAGTTACACAACTTGGCAACAGAAATGATGATGATCAAAAGAGTGATAAGGAGGCCAAAATATCTTGAAATGATAAAATTGTCAAATTCAAACTAAATGATAAATGCAAAGTTATTAATTTGTTATTTGATAGTTGTTATCTATTTTTGGATAAACACTAAATACAATAATAGTAGATAGTTGTTGAACTTATTTTATTATAAATAAAAATAAATGTGCGCTAGGTGTTAATGGCTTATGGTCATCAATTAATAATGTTATAATCAAGTCTTTTATTTATTTTTAAATTTCTTTTCATATTTTCTCCTGTTATCAGAGTTATTGTGAGCATTCGGCATATCACAAGTCTTCTCTTCCACTCTCACTTTGCTATCTGTAAATGTTGACAACTTATTTACGCTCATCTCTCATTAATTCTCCTCCATCAAGTACATTCTATCAAATCCAAACAAAATAGAAACATAAAATTTCATACCAAAATTTACGAATGAGTTCAAGAATAGGTTGATCATTTCACCAATGAATACCTTGTCCCAACCAAATACATCACATCAAATCCAAACAAGACAAAAACAAAAAGGAAAGTCACACCAAAATTAACAAATGAATTTATTGCCTGACAAAAGTCCAATCCTCTCATTCATGGTTGGATCATCACAACAATTTGAAGAAACCCTCAAACTCATTATAGGCTTAGACACAAACCATGCAGTATGGGAAGCAATTGAAATGCTTATATATATACACAGGTGACATGGCTTCGCAAGAATGAAGAAAAAAATCATTGCTCAATTTTTTGAACCAAACTGTGTATTCAGCCCTAGCACAATTTGCGAGAGGATGTTAGAAACGTCAACACAATTTTGCAACTGATAAAGAGATCAAATAATCTTGGAATGATAAAATTATCAAATTTAAACTAAATGATAAATGCAAAGTTGTTAATTTGTTATTTGATAGTTGTTATCTATTTCTGGATAAGCACTAGCTACAATAATAATAGAGAGTTGTTGAACTTATTTTATTATAAATAGGAATAAATGTGTGCTAGGTGTTCATGGCTTATGGTCATCAATCAATAATGTTAT